TGGAGTCCCGGGATCGAGTCCCGCATCGGGCTCCCTGCTCGGCAGGGAGTCTGCTTCTCCCTCTGACCCTCCCCCCTCTCATGTGCTAAAAAAAAAAAAAAAAAAGTACGTATTTATGTAACTAACTTATATATGTAACTCAAGAAAGCATGGGACCCAAAGTAGCCGTGGAAAATATTATGAAAATCAGTCTTTCAGAAAGCACATAATACAAATGACAGCATTTGCCAAAGATAACCCCTCCCCCCAAAACAATGTAAGTGAAGAGAAACCTAAAAAAGAAAGTTCCTCAGAACTGAGGACACACCAGACAAATTCAAACAAATACATATCCAGGCAAGGATGGCGGTGTTCAGATCAGACTCCACTGAATTGAAAGCAAAAGGGAGGTGCTTTATAATAATATTAACATTTAATCCATAATGAAGGCATAATTGGAGTTTTCCTTTTGCAATAAAAAACAACATCGAAGTCCCCAAACAAAACACTTTAAGTATTGAAGGAAGATTGTGATGGAAGCAGAAAAGTTGCAGGCAACTTAGACGTGCCAAAAAAGGAAGGAAGGAATCAAAATCATACCACAAGGCCACTAATGGAGCAGGTTAATCTGCACACAAGCTCACCCTGTTCCTGCGGCCTGTGGAGCAGACACAAAGTATAAACATATTTCGGTCCCAAAGGAAAGCTTACCACAGTCTCAAACGTGCAAGAAGTACAGACGATGTCCTTTGATCACTTGTGTTAGTAGAAATTAGTAGCAAAGGGAAAAGAAACAAACAAAAAAAATGAACCTCTTAGAAATTTCAAAACTTTCTTTTTCCAAAACGTTTTTTAAACAACTCTTGGATGAAAGAAAATAAAAACTGAAATAGAAAATAAACACACAGAAGAGAACGCTAATGAAAATCTTTCATGGTGAAATCTATGAGAAATGTCAAAGTCATGCCCAGAGGCAACTTCATGGCATTAGACATATTTCTAATGAAATAGAATGAAAAGAATGAATTAGAAACATGACGAAAATCGGGGGGGGGGGCAGAAACAACAGTCACGCATCTTTTAGAATCAGAGGACGTAATTAATAAAGATACAGAAGATTAGATATTAAGGAATCAGAAAACGGAGAAGTGATAAACAATTTGAAATTTGATTCTTTTGAGGAGGAAGAAACCTCCCACATAATAAAAGGGGAAAATCCATGAAGGTTGCCTAATGAAGAAAATGTGCGAGGAAAACACAGCTACTCGGCGTCAGAAATAACAAAGGAAGATAAACACAGGTGCAAAGGCAATAAAAATAATTACAAGAGTATGCAGATTGGTATGCCTCACTCCACAGTGTGTGTGTGTGTGTGTATTTAAAATATTTAGGTGAAAAGGACACACTGTTCCACATAGGTGTTTAGTGTGAGCACTGCTTGTACGTAAAAATCAGGAGCTTTCTTATATTCCCAAAATAACCAGTTAGAAATATCATAGGGAAGATTTAACAAGAAAATTACTGACTTGGAGGAAGAGAAGTACATAGCTTTATTAAGAGATTTATTTATTCTGTGTATTTTACAAACCCTTACACAATATATGGCTTACTAGGTGCCAGGCACATTTCATCCTAACCAACCCTTGAAGGTAGGTTTAATTATTATCTGCATTTTTCCGATGAAGAAACTGGGGCACAGAGAGGGTAAGTAACTTAGCCAGAGTCACCCAACTTATAAGTAGCTGGACCAGGCTTCAAAATGCAGTCCGCTTTGAGCCTCTGTGCTCTTTGCTGTTGGCCCGCACAGTGAATAAATGAAGAGACACACGTGTTCCAGGAAGGAGGATTTGATGTCACAAAACGATCAATTCGCTGCTGGCCTGAGCTCTCTAGCAAGGGCTGAGCTGCTGACCGGCTGTCCAGGGTGACTCTCAACAGAAGGCAAACTGTCAAGGAGCTGTAGGCTGCCCCCAGGTGCCCCAGTCTCTCAGGGGTCAGAGTAGAAGGGCCACACTCACCCAGGCCTGGGGAAGTGCAGCTCACATGGAGCTGGCCACCCTTCTCCTCGGCACGTCCCTGCTCTGAGTCCCGCCGTGTGTGGACGTGATGGTGGCGGGCAGGTCCTCTCTAACTCACCATGCCCCGTTCTCCTCTCTTAGATCCAGGAGATGGTCCACTCGGAGGTCGCCGCCTATGACTCGGGCCGGCCGGGGCCCCTGCTGGGCCGCCCAGCGATGCTGGCCAGCCACATGAGCGCCCTCAGCCAGTCCCAGCTCATCTCTCAGATGGGCATCCGGAGTGGCATCGCCCACAGCTCCCCGTCACCCCCAGGGAGCAAGTCAGCCACGCCCTCCCCCTCCAGTTCAACTCAGGAGGAGGAATCAGAAGCGCATCTTAAGGTAGGTAGGGCGGCCACGCAGGGCCCTAAGATGCCCTCCCGTCAGCAGGTGCCCGGGCCCTGTGTGGCAACGGGCATCACCTGCCTCGAGACCAGACCGCAAGAGTGCAACTGTGTCCTTTGCTGGAGGACACAGAGGAAGGAAATCAGCAGGTAGAACAGGGCCCACCGGCCGGAGCCCCTGGGCAGTGGAAAAGGCCCTGCTTGGAATTTGGGATTTCTGGCTGTGGCCTCTAAGTTAGCGGAGCGTCCTTGCCAAGCTGTGCCCCTCCACTCCCACGGCCTTGTGTATAAAGCAGAGATGATACTCACCCACGGCCAGGGGCTGGATGAGAGAATCCTGTGAAAACGTGAAGTCTTACTCCTCAGTGGCCAGTGGGTCATTTCAGGGACATTGATGGCATCGGCAAGATCCTCAGGGTCACATCTATGGTCACTTTGGCCTTTTAGGAGAAGATACTCTGACAAAGCTGTGCGGCCCAGCGAGGACACCCGGGCAGCACCGAAACTGACCCACCCCCCTCCACTGGGTACATGCCCCCCCTCCCCCCAGCATCCCTAGAGTCATGGGTGATCCTGCCTCTGAAGAACATGTCAGGGCTGAGAGGTCACCAGCTGTCCAGGCTTGTCCTTCCTTCGCACTGACAACTCTCCCTGGCTCCGGAAGGCACTGTGTTTTACTGGGGTGGAAAACAGAGGCCGGAGAGCCCAGGGATGGCCTCGCTCGCAGCGACTCTCCCAATGAGCCTGTGGCAGAACCTAAACTTGATCCCCCAACTCCCACCTCCCCTTCTGCTTCCTCAGAGCTCTCACCCTTTCCACGCAGTGGCCCTGCAGACGCCTGGCGGGGGGCAGTTTGGACCTGGCAGGGGCCCTGACTGCCTGGGCTGGGTGCGTGCCTCTGGGTCTGGTCCGGCTGCATCCCCAGGACAACTTGGTCTCTACAATAGGCCAGGCAGGAGCGGTTTTTATTTTCTTTTTTATTTAGCAGACACTTTTGGCGCCGAATACTGTTCTAAGCACATCACCAGCATTAACCCATGGGATCCTCATGACGGCCCTGTGTGGTCGGGGCCATTGTCCTCTCCGATTGGCAGATGGGAAAACCAAGGCCCCAGAGAGGTTACGTCAGTCTGGCTGCAGAGAGAGGCAGGAACAGGTGCAGCAGGGCTGCAGGCTTCCCCTCGCTGTCCCTCAGACATGCAGGCCTGAATTTTGCCCAGGGGCCCACGGATTCCCTATCAATTCCTGGTATCACCTTCATCTGCTTGGTGCAGAGAGTGACCGTCTTCACTATAGGATCCAGGACCTTTGACCAAATTCCTGGTCCCCGTGGGGCCTGAGGGTCCTACCGGTGACCCACTGAAGTCTGTGGCAAGCATCCCTACATGGCTCCCATCCCATAAGCCCTGAGTCGCACACTCACAGGATTGCAGTCCTGCTTCCGAGGCCAGGCATCCCCAGTGAGGCCGCACCCACCGAGTCACATAACCTCCTTCCCGTCCAGTCATTTCACAGGGCCCCGGGCACCAAGCCCCCTGCCCTAAGTCGCACACCTGGAAGTTGGTGGAAGACACCGATCTTTTGTGACTAAGGATCATCTTTGGGGATTATTTGTGATCACAAGAAGGGAGAATGGTTAAGAAAAATTGATATCCTCAAAACTGGGAAATAGGGCCGAGCACAGGGCTGCATACGCTTTCAACGGCCAACCGCACGCTGTCTGCAGGCTCGCGCGGGAGGCCCCAGATTCCCTAGGAGAACGTACGTTGTCGGGATTCATTACTCATGATCCATTCGGGGATTCTACACTCTGTAAAGGTACATGTTACCTTGGGAAAGAAGCGGCAGAGAGGTAAACAATTTTTGTCTGATTAAAAGGCAAATTAAGTTCTCCCTGTAGAGATGCAAATGACCTCTGCCCAGGAGAAAAGATTAAAAGCCCCAAAGGTGACCGTTTCATTGCTCTGTAGGGCAGGTTCTCTCATATTTCTTTGAGTCAACTTTGCCACCTTGCTGATTTTCATTCATGAGTGAAACAAAAACTCCAGGGTTCCTAGCTCCTACCCAGCACGTGTGTGTGTGTGTGCATGCGTCTGTGTGCTTGTGAGCGTGTGTGTGCACGTGTGTGCACGTGAGCATGTGTGTGTGTGTCCTTTGCCTCCCTCACCAGGGAGCGGTGAGCATGACAGCGTGGCCCACGTGTCCCGCGCTGGAGTCCAGGGTGGCACGTGCGCAGAGCCGGACAGACGGGGGGGGGTGGTGCGCTGCTGAGGAAGGTCCCCTGCGCCTCAGGCTGGGGTGGGGAACCCGCAGGGGGAGGCCCTTGGCGTCTCTGCTTTCCTGACTCCTCTCACCTGTGCAGATGTCAGGAGAGAAGAGACCTTCAACTGACCCAGGAAAAAAGACCAAGAACCCAAAGAAGAAGAAGAAGAAGGACCCCAACGAGCCGCAGAAACCTGTGTCAGCCTATGCGCTCTTCTTCAGAGACACTCAGGCTGCCATCAAGGGACAGAACCCCAGTGCCACCTTCGGGGATGTGTCCAAAATTGTGGCCTCCATGTGGGACAGCTTGGGAGAGGAGCAGAAGCAGGTGAGTCTGTCCCTTCCGGGGCCCTCCCCCAGGGTGTTGAGGCCCTGGAGCCAATGACAGAGTTGGAATGTCTGAAATCAGGAAAAGCCTCCTGCTGGGGTCTCTCCTGGACTCAGTTTGCCCATCTGTAAGCTGGGAGGCTAGAGCCCTTCCGGGTCCGCTGTTTGCCAGCAGAGTTCACTAGCGGCTTAACCGTTCTGATTCCTGCTTCCTCTTCTGTTAAGCGAGAATAAGCATCTCTGTCCATCTGGTCCGTCCAGCCGTGCCAGCCTGGAGTCCAGGCTTCCTCTCCCACTGACCATGCGCCCCTGGCCCCTCTCAAGGGCGTCCAGGGAGAACAGGGAGCAGAACCAGCTCAGAGGCAAATGCCAGCTACCAGCGGCGGGACCTCCGGCTGATCGCCTGACCTCTCCCCAATGTTGCCCATGTCTTGGATCTTTCAGGCCTATAAGAGAAAGACCGAAGCGGCAAAGAAGGAGTATCTGAAGGCTCTGGCGGCCTACAGGGCTAGCCTCGTCTCCAAGGTAACACCCTGGCCCATCGGCCCAGCCCTGATAAGGGAGGCGCCGAGGCCCACGGGAATGGTCGGCGCCCTAGTTCCCGGAAAGGACGAATAAGCCCAGTGGGGTCACTTCTCCCGTGCACCCGCTGTGAGCCACGCTCATGCTGGCACTTTACGTGCATTTCGTTTCACTTCATTCTTCCAGTGGGGTTGAGCAGCGGGCCTGAAATGAGGCGCCTAGGTGCCTTGTCTGGAAGCTGTCACAGAGCACAAGGCATGTGGGTCAGGCCGCAAAGGGCCAAGCAGGGAGGGCGTTCCAAGTTGAGGGAACAGCACAGGCAGAGGTGTAGAGGCTGGAGAGGAGCATGGAGGATGGCCCGGCTGGATGAGGCCGGCCTCACAGGCCAGGCTGAGGGGGCTGGGCTTCCTCACGGGCAGGAGAGCCCCAGGAATTAACGCAGGGGGTGGTTGGATGGTCAGAGCCAAGTGCACCGAGGCCCTGGGATTACCTCTGGTTTGCCCGTAGCTCCCCGCCAAGGGGCCAGAGAGCCAGCCACGGACCATGTCAGCAGGTTGCAGACCCGGCGGGTCTCACGGCCCAAGTTCTGGCTTATCCGTCTTCTCCAGAGTGACTGGTGTCTGTCTCCTTGCAGAGCTCCCCAGAGCAGGGTGAGACCAAGGGCACTCAGGCGAACCCGCCGGCCAAAATGCTGCCACCCAAGCAGCCCATGTATGCCATGCCGGGCCTGGCCTCCTTCCTGACGCCATCGGACCTGCAGGCCTTCCGCAGCGGGGCCTCTCCGGCCAGCCTGGCCCGGACGCTGGGCTCCAAAACCCTGCTGCCAGGCCTCAGCGCATCCCCGCCGCCGCCACCCTCCTTCCCGCTCAGCCCCCCACTGCACCAGCAGCTGCCCCTGCCACCCCATGCCCAGGGCGCTCTCCTCAGTCCGCCTGTCAGCATGTCTCCAGCCCCCCAGGCTCCGGTCCTGCCCACTCCCATGGCACTGCAGGTGCAGCTGGCTCTGAGCCCCTCACCTCCAGGGCCTCAGGTAAGCAGGGCCCAGTGGGAACGTGCTCTTCAGGACCCTGGGTGGGGAAGGCAGGCAGCTCGGGGTTTTGGATACCAGCCCGGGCCCTCACCGGCAGCACCACCTCGGCACCTTACCTCTCTGAGCCTCAGTCACCACATCCGTGAAATGGGTCTAGTACACCTTCCCTGAGGTGTACTGGCTGCAGCGAACAGTTGACAAGTTCCCAGTCTTCAGAGTCTTAGGACACCCCAGGCCCTCCTTCTTCTATCCTCCGTCCAGTTCTGCTCCCTGGCCCAAGGCGCTGAGGCCATGCAGCTTCTGCCGGGTCAGCCCCGGCCCCCTGGCTCTCCCCAAAGCCTTGGAGGCCTGACCCACTGAACATTCCACAGACTCACGTGGCTCAGCACAACAACTCCATTTTGCAGACTGGGAAACTGAGGCCAGAAAAAGAAAGGCCCTGAAAGCAGAGCCCCTCACCCCCCAGATGCAGCTAGGAGAAGGGTTGAATTTTCCAAAAGGTGCTCTGCAGGGAAAAGGAAGAAGCTTTCCAGGCAGAGAGGCAGAGGGGAGGCTTTGTAGAAGCCAGAGGAAGTGTCCCTGTGAACTCCCACGGACATGGAGAGTTCCTGCCCCCCCACTTGCCACCTGCGCTGTGCACCCCATCATCTCTGCCTTGCTCACCTGCCTCCTTCCCCCTTGGCAGGACTTCCCTCACATCTCCGAGTTCCCCAGCGGTTCGGGACCCCGCTCACCTGGCCCGTCCAACCCCCCGAGCAGCAGCGGGGACTGGGACAGCAGTTACCCCAGCGCGGAGTGTGGCGTCAGCACGTGCAGGTGGGTCCTCCCCGCCCCACCTCCACCGATGCCGCCCCAGTGCCGCCCGAGCCGAAGAGGGGGCACGGGCCGCCCAGGGCTGGGGGGAGGCGAGGCCCCGCGGGTCACGGTGGCCCCGCGACCGTGCCTCGTGGGCGCTGGCTGCCCGCCGTCTTCACGAGAAGATGCAGAACAAAGCAAGACCCCAGAAGGACTCAGCGGGTCTGATGCCAGGGCTCTGCTTGGGAAAGGGGCCCAGCTTCAGTCTGGCTGTCTCTCTTGCCGTCCTGGTTTTCTCACGAGGGCCGCCTTGTGACACTCACGGATGGGTCATCTGTCTTCCCTCGGGTTCCCTAGAAGCGGAGCCTGGGCAGCAGGATTTGGGCGCCCTTGATGATGTGGAGGGAGGGCTTGCAGGAGAAAGGGAGGGAGGGAGGTGGGACAGGGCCAGGGAAGGAGCCAGCGGCGGGTGTGCGCTCAGCCAGAGACTCGCTTCAGCCTGATCCCACCGCAGCTTGGTGCCATGCACCGCCCACTGCGTCCCGCCTTGAGGTTAGGGCTTTTTGTTCCCTGGCTCAGTCAGCCGCTGGCTGTGGGCTGCCCCAGGGAGTGTGGCCCCTGGAGGAAGCAGCTCTCATCCAGCCCAGGGCAGCTCTCTGGAGCAGAGGCTGCTGGGAGGGCAGGAAAGGGGACCCGGGGAGGCACCCGCGGCGTCCACCGCACCCTCGGCGAAGGGCCAACGAGCCAACACCGGGAGTCACACACCTTACTGGGACCCCCACTGCTACAGCCCAGCACCCCCTGACACACCAACCCCCAGGCCACTTGGCTTCTCCATGGTCCTTATGTGGACCTCAGCCTCTGGGCCTCCTCTCCCATCCTGCGCTCTTAGCCTCTTAGCCTTTCAACGGCATGCTAGCAGCCCTTCCTCTCGAAGGTCTTCCTGCTCCAAGAGTCAGTGACCTCTCATTTCAGCAGCTAAAGAGGGAAATGGGGCGGAGAGGGCACCCAATTCCTTTCCCCGCCAACCCTGACTCCCATTCCCCTGGCAAGGACCAATCCCGTGGCCACCCCTGGGGTCTCTGGCCCCAGCAGCGGCTCCACAGCCTGGAAGGCGTGACGGACGTGTGGGAGACAGGCAGCTTCGGCTGCCCCTAGCCCCGGCCATTGGCCTTTCTGCCCCTCACCAGCCAGCCTGCCAGTGAGCCAGCAGACACGGCCCGTGGCGCACGGCCGACGGCCGACAGCCGGTGCCCGGTGGGAGTCTACCTGCGCGGGCAGACTCGGCTCAGCCGGAATCTCCTTCCCCACCCCCCAGCAGGTGCAGGCCCTCCCACCCCTGCCCTCCTGCTGGAGACTTCCTTCCCAGTCAGAGTGTGGGGCTGGGGGCTCTTTAATGGACATTATGGAACGTGTCCGAGCTTCCCCCCAACACGGAGGGCAGACCACTGCAGTACCCTGCTTTACTTAATTTTTTTAAAATGAGGGAGACCTGGCGTATTAGTTGCAGGTGTACGGCATACGCTCTGCAGTAGGCTGGTGTGTGCTGGGGACTGACCACCGCCGGAGTCTAGGCAACACCCGTGGCCGCTCACTTACAGATGCTTTCCTTGTTCCGTGATAACTTGTAAGAGCTACTCTCTTAGCAACTTTCAAATACAGAAACTTACAAAAATGCGGTGTTACTAACTGTAGTCCCAACGCTGCACATGGCATCCCCGAGGCTTACTCATCTTCTCCCTGGAAGCTTATACTTCTGACCCTTCCCCCATTTTACCCATCCCCCCACCCCCGGCAACCAGCATTCTGTTCTCTGGCTCTGTCAGCTTGGTTTGGGGTTTGCGTAGGTCCCACATGTAAGTGAGATCACCGGATACTCGCTACTCGTCTTCCTCGGACTTACTTCACTTGGCATGATGACCTCAAGGTCCCCCTGGCTCTCCATGAGGGAGCGCCCTATTTTAAAAACACAGAAGGCGCCTTCCTCTGATTCTATGTGAAGTTTGCAAATGACTAAGCACAGACCGAGAGCCAGGCGGTGTTGGGACCATCTTCCCGCAGGGCGGAGGCCCGGGTGGTCCCCAGCCGGGATTCCAGGAGGGCAGCTGGGCTGGTGGCTTATGGCCCGTCGGGGGACGGACCTGCGCGCCCCCTCCCGTCCTCAGAGGGGCAGCGGGCGCCTCCGGGCTGAAGGTGAAGGGGGCGCCTCCAGGGTGGGGCTGAGGCTAGCGAGCAGGTGGCCTGGCGCTGCCCCCAGGCCCGGCTGGGCTCCCACGGCTCTGACAGCCCTCCTCTCTCCCCAGCCTGCTCCCCAGGGATAAGTCGCTCTACCTCACCTAATCCCGCCTCCCCTGTCCTCCCTGAGGCTTGCTGGAGGGGCACCGCTCAGCGCCTGAAGGGCCCACAGCAGGAGGGAAGCCCGGGCAGGAAGCAGGATGACCGGGAAGAGAGCAGTGACACAACGACGACGCCCCAGGGCCGAGTCTCCTCCTCGACCTCCCAGCAGACCCTGCCGAGGCGGGCCGCCGCCCGCCCGCAGCACCCGCGGGAACCTCCTGCCCCCCACCTGCCTGCTCCAGGGCTACCGCGGACCCCGCCCCTCGCCCTGCACTCCGCGCTCCGCGTCTGGACGTCCGGCCCCAGCCCACGCTCCCGGGGCTGCCCCCGCCCGGAGGGGCCGCCTTCCGACCGAAACGCACCCCCAGAGGCGTGGGCCCGGCCGCCCGGCCGAGGACGCGCGAATGCGGCTTCACCGAGTGAACACAGATCGCCAAACCTCTGAACTGTTGGCTCCATGTAAGTAGTTGCCTAAGTGTTTTAGAACCGTGCTGAAGACGTCGTCGATAAGATGATTTTGTGGGGGAGGGGAGTAGTTTCCTTTAAGGTGAAGAGCATTTTATATGACCCCTTAGCACATATTTTTCTTTAAGTTTTCTCTTGGGGATGAGCACAAAAGCGGCTGCCAAACTGTTTCCGCCCCTGTAACAGCGAGAGCGGGACCACTTAGAGCCACACTCGGAGACGTTGCGCTTTTTTTTTTTCTGGTTTTTAACCCTGTGTCCGTCTATTTAAAATTGCCAACAACGACTTTTGTCTATTTATGAAGCAAAGTTGAGAAGAGAAATGCAGTGTATCATAACGTGTGTGTGATTTTCAGGTTTGGTTTGGGTTTTGGTTCTTAACGTCGTTTGCAGCAGTTTCCTGGCCCTGGCAAGTGTCCGTCCCGGTGCCCAGTGCTTCTCTCAGTTTCTTTGTAATAAAACTTCTGAAAAGTTGAAAATCCGTCTGTCTCTTCGTGCCCTTGGCAAGCCGGAGCCAGGCCTTCCGACGAGGCGTTTGGTGGCGGCTCCGTGGGCTTCGAGTCCAGGCTCACCTGCCATGTACTCTCCCCGAAGATCTGCGCGGACCGTGGGGCCTCCCCGGCCTCAGTGTTGTCGCCTCCGGAAGTAGGACGGTGGCGCCAACACGCGCAGGTCTGGTGATGAGCAGAGGTTATGGGCACAGAGTGCTGGCCGTGCGGGGGAGGGGGGCAGGCTCCCCGTCTGGTGGAGGCGAGAGGTGGGTTCTGGGAGCCCGGGGAGGCGGGGCAGGGGGGCTTCTCCAAACCTGAATGTAAGGGGCAGCCCAGACAGGG